TGTGTGGAAGTTGTTGTAAGTGCCTGTGGGAGAATCACAACATAGGCCCTGGTATGGAGGCATTGCCATTTGTGTGCCTTTTGGAAAACAATTCCTCCATATTCCTGAGGCCTCATAGAAACTAAGTGTTTAACTTTAGGATACCAAGCGACCACACCCTTGGAACTGTCTATCATGAGCTCTCACAAAGCCAGGAATTCAAAGGAAAAGGCAGAACTACGCGCAATCCATTGTACGATACATTCTAGAAGCAGAAAACTGGTATCAAGCATGAATAGGACTGTAAAGCACAGGAAGACATATGAATAGGTGGCCCTATCTTCTATGTGATTCACTATTACTGCACAAGCACCTCTCTGTCAGTTCATGCTTCAGGATCCAAGTGACCAATTGATAGAGGAGGAGGAATAGTTGAATGCAGTTTATAGATGAGCTAGTTTAATAATTAGATGCAATACAAGCCAAAGATGGATGCTACACTGCTGCCTTATTTACTAGCAGGTCTGGAAGACAGTGGCTAGGGAAAACCCTGAAAATAGACAGAGCTTTGGTGGATACCTGATCACTAAAAAAGCCAGAGAGTGGCTTTTTTAGAATATACTGCATAAGCTCCTGGGCAGAGGTGAATGGCCCCACTGATTGTCAGGGACCTTAATGGAGGGAGATTAGATGATTGGTGAAAAGGAAGTCTGTGTTCTGGCTTGTGGACAGATTGTGGAGTGGGCACAAAGAGTAAAGGTATTTGTATTAAAACCATGGAAGGTGCATGACAGTATGGACCTGCACCATCCAATGGAGCACCCTCTAGTCACATGTGGCAAATCCAAATTGACATGTGTTGCAACTACAGAATGGACACTGGATTTCAAAGGTTTAGTAAGACTATATATGTAAACTATTACTAATAATTTTATGTTAATTTCTTATTGAATTTTTACATTAGTTCAAATGAATTTTATTATACATTTATGTAAATGTTTATGTACTTATTAATTTCATTTACTTTTTTAATGAAATGAGACACTTTTAAAATTTCATATTGTTGGTCACATTATATTTGTTTTGAATACTACTGATACAGACAGAATTTTTGCAGTTGGCAGCAGACAGCATCAATCATTGGTTACCCCAATGCTGCCAGGACGGGCATGTAGATTGGGTGATTGGGTAATGGTGGCAGATATGCGATTCTGTCTGAGTCTGAGGATGAACTACTCTTAGATTAGTTTCCACTGCTGCCAAATCTACAGATTTCCAGCCACAGAGACTGATGCGGAGCTGTGTTAATATGGCGCTATACTTCTAGAGTCAAACCAGATGCTTGGCTGATTACATTGGGTGTTTTCTCTCCCAGAAACACCAGAGAATTTTATGTTTGTTTTTTTTTATTTCAAATAATAACACCATATATTCTGAGTATGCATTTACCTTTCCTACCTGCAGGATCTCCACTGACAGCATTATTGAATGGCTTACTGTGTATGTGATAAATCCATATGTGTTCCCATGTAACATTACAGCAGAGCATAAGAACTATTGATAGGGAAGAAAGTGATACTCTGCATGAAGTGGGTAGCATCTCCAGTATTTAAATTGAATCAAAAACCTTTGTATAGTATTTTAGTCAGCTCTCCATATCTGCACATTTTGCATCCACAGCCAAGTGTGGATCAAAAATATTTGGAAAAATTGTATCTGTGCTGAATGTGGATAGACTTTTTTCTTCTTTATTTCCTAAGCAATACAGTATAACAACTCCCTGTATAACATATACATTGTAGTAGGTATCATAAGGAACCTAAAGATGATTCCAAGCATATGGGAGTATGTTCACGGTTATATGCAAATGCTACTCTTTTATACAACCACACATTTTGATATCTTCAGAGATTCTGGAAATGATTTCCCACAGATACTGAGAGATAATTGTATGTTCCCTGTGAAGAACACATGGGTCCTGCAACAATGGGTAGAAGCAGGAGTGGTTCCTTTAACATGACTCACTGGGGGAAAAATGTGCTTCTTATCAAACAACTCCGCAGGATAAAAAGTATCAGTCCCAAAGCAAACACACTTTAATCATGGTACTAAAGAGCCCCATAGAACTTCAATTACTGCAGCTGCGTAGGCATTTTAAGCAAGGTGAGGAGTCACCATTTCGGCGGAGGCAGTTGACTTTGGTCATCAGAATGAGATGGGTCTGCTATTGTATCATAGAAGTAGGAATACTCACTTAGGTACTTGATGTGTCTGGATTGTACCAAGTAAGCCATTAAGACCAGCAGAAGAGATTGCTGAGGCTGAAGATGTAGAACTAATAGTGAAAGGGGGAGATGACTAGCATCAATTGTGGTTCTAGGAATAGCTGGAGTGGCAGGGACTGTAATTTGTTCTAACCCTGTTTGTCCCAAGATAAGAGGCCTTCTAGGATTCTGGGCAGATTGATCCCTGAGATTTAAGTTTATCTGAGGGAATGGGCATGAAAAACAGTTATTCCTGATTCAAAGATTCCCCTTCAAGGAAGGACTTGTCCTGCTTTTGAGAATTCTGTCCACAACCATTCTCCAGCTTTCTGCTCAAGCTTTTCCTCCACAGTAGAGTCCTAATTCATCCAAGAGCCACTCTCTTTCTAAGCTGCACTGCATCCAAGGACTGACTGAGGTGGATTGCATGTGAGTCCACCAGGGAGAACACAGAGGAGCCCTCTTTCCCCAGGGCACCCCAGTGGGGTGAGCCTGTTGAGGCTTTTTGTGTGTGTGTGTGTGTTGGAATCACAGATTTATTTCTTGCTTTTCCTAATCTGCTTCCTCCCCCTAGCCTCCACTAGTATTGATCCCTAAGAAAAATGCTGTATGCTAATCTCCATCTGAAACATAGCCTTTCAGTCCTGCTATTCACTTCTAAGTATGCTGTCCTCTTAAAACCCTTATTCCTTCCAAATCTAACATCTTTATCCAAACTCTGGAGTCATGTTTACTTCTGTCCATGTGTTATTTTCATTGAGTGTCCCAGCATCCATTCAACCTGTCAAAACCATCTTCCTCTTTATATCTCCTTAATTTCTGTTAGTGATGTGTGTCTCTCTGTCCTCCATATTTTACCTACAGTAGCTCATAATCTTGTTACCTTAATCTCTTACGTGTTAATGATCCTTCAAACAATTGTACTCTTCTGTGCCATAATTAGGTAGACCCTTATCCTTGCTTGTTTGGAGGGACTTTGGTGGTACTTTTTCCCTGTTGCCTCCTCATTCTCTAGCACAGGGTCTTGATCAGAGTAGGTCTTTTGCTTTTTTTTTTTTTTAAATTAATAGTGACTGTAATAACTATGAGGAAGATTTTTCACTTTGGCATTTCTATCTTTCCAAAGTGTGTACTGTGACCATAATGACATTCCACATTGCCCAAATCCTTCTTATTTGGTTGAACTGCCTCTTCCAGTATTTTCAGGATTTCCCAATTCCATAAGGATGTAAGTCAGACTTTGGACTAATCCTTAAACCTGTACAATATTTTTATTTATCCTTCTTATCTGTTTCACCACTTGTTTCTGAAGGCAAATCCTCTATTCTTAGTGCTCTGCCTTCCACAAAAGAGGGTGACTTGTGCAAAACAGAGAGATCTGCTTCCCTGAAATTGCTCCACAATGTGGGCTATAGGATGCCCCTTCCATCTCGAATGCACTCTTATCCTGAATCTGACATTTCCCCTACCCTTTCAGCCAGCCACCTTCTCCCATCTGAGCTATTGTACAGAACATGATCAGTGGACATGTTTTGAGCATCATCTATGTTTCAGACACTAAACTGGATGCTGAGGACATAGAGAGCAATGTGACTAGTTCTCTGACTTCAGGGAGTTCTGAGGAGGAAGCAGACACATAAATGAAGGGAATGAGATTTGAAGAGTCTCTAATAAATGTCTACAATTGGTATAAAAGAGTAGATAACCGATTTTCAGGAGAATCAGAAAAGCAACATAAAGGAAGAGCTATTTGAGCTTTCTCTTGAAAAATAAGTGAATGGTCATGGAACTGTGCTGCCATAATGGGTGTTCGGGAGGGTATTCTTGAATAGAAGAGGCAAGTTGCACAAGGCAGGAGAAAGTTGAGTCACAGGGGAAAAAGGTTAAAATTATTTAATTACCCAGTGGGCAAGGGGAGAGGGAGGTAAGGAGAAGCAGCTCAGTGAGGGAAAAGGCTTAAGAAGTTTTTTGGATCCAGATCTAAGGCAACCTCATAGATAGGCATTCCAGAGAGTTTGGGTTTTATTTTGTTGGCAGTGAAGAAAAAAAAATGGGCAGGAGATTTTGAAGTCAGTAACATGATCAACTTTGAGTTTTGGGATGATTAGACAATCACATATTATTACTTAACTTTCAAAAATATAGAACTAGTCTTCACATATAAGAAAAACAAGTTATGTGAGAACAATGTCCTGCATATGATAGGAGATTAAGAAGAATGTAATTTATTTCTCTTCCTTCTATTGCTAATAAAAATGAGTTTGGGTAATCTTAAGACATCTTTAAGCAGATAGGACTTATTGTACATTTATATTCTAAACATAAAATCAAAGATTCTGCTTTAAGCAAAGCAAAAAGTATTACTAAGTAGTTGAATTATACTATTTATAAGAGAGCGGATTTGTTTTTATAAAAATATCCTCTGAAATTTCATTTACATAGAGTGTTCCCCTTTGGCCCTCATGTTTATTTACACCTCATTACTTGATGAATGGGTTGAAAAGCTGAGAATGGAAAGTGTGGTAAGCATCTCCACTTAGGGATCCATCATAGTAAAGTTAACACATCTTTGAAATGATAATGTAATGAGCCATTTCGCAGAAACTGGCTTCACAGGCAACTTTTCAAAAATGTTATCTGTTAGACACAGGAAAGGAGATATCCTTGTTTGCACTGTGGCAGAGGACATAAGAGATTGCAGCTCAAGACAAAAGAACAGAGGTTTACAAAAAAATACGACAAAAATGCTACAGTAGATACAACTTAGAAACTGGTTTTACTCTGCTGCAAACAAATGGACAAGATATTGTACAATATATAATAAAAAGTACAGCATAATACAAGTGCCACTAATAGAAGAAACTTAAGAATAAGACTTAAAAATGCTTATTTGTAATATATATTTATATATATACACACTGCAATAAAAAGCCACAATAAATACACGAATTTCTATGTCATTCATAATAAATACTGAAAATATAAATACAGAAGACTACAGCTAATATGAATAAATTATTACAACATAAGGTCCAAGTTAAATCTTGTTGAACATTATTGTAGCTTATTTTATATACCCTTTGGCATCTTTGATGTTATAACTTATACACAAGAGAAATCAATCTAGAACCTGTGACACACAACATGACATCTTAGTGTAAAATAACTGTATATATGGATTGTAGTTGGGTTCTCTTCCCTTTCAACCTTTATAATTCACTAGATGGAACACAGCAGTAATTAAATATCTACTGAGGTTCTAAGGATGTTAATTAATAATAAAAAGTCAATGAAAAGATAAAACTACTTATAACATCAAAATATAATGGATAGCACAGTGGCTTTTCTGAGTTTTTAAAGTTACATTGTTTTTTTCCTAGCATCAAACAAATAAAAAAAAACATTAAAAAATACCTTTAAAAGACTTCCCTTGTGTAAGGACCATTTCTAAGATCTGAATGGTTCAACATAGACAAAGAATAAACCCCAAAATCCTTTGGATCCTTTAATCTACCAATACATTGAGCTCACTAGATTTCACCAGAATTTGCAAAGGTATCAAATTTCTATGGCTGCTGGAAAATGGAGACACAGTTGAAGTCTAAGAGTATGATCAAGACACTGCAAAAGGTGATATTTATCTATGCAACCAATTATATATATACGTTTTAATGGGGAAATGTATTTTTGACCAAAATCAAATGACCTTTCTTATCAAATTGATATACCCTGTGACATTGAGGGAAATACATTAAAATAACAAAGTGCCATTTTCTGCATTAACAGGCATTAACCAGTACATATGTATTAATAGTTCTATCTTAAGAGGCTATTACACCAGAAATGCAATAAACTAAAAAGAAAGCAGATCAACTTTACTAAGACACAATAAAGGCTGAGGTTCTTAAGAACAGAGTTGTAATCTACAGGTTTAATTTTTTTTATTTTTATTTTTATTTACTATTTCTGTACTGTAAATGTCTAGCATTTATTATACATCAAACACTTTTGAAACATGTTTCACAAACTACGCCTCGGACTTATTTCCATAGAGTTGCCTAGAGTCAATTAAAACATGGGCCAAATTTTACATGAGCATTCTACAGCATTTTTTTTTAAAGGGTAAATCCCCATAATGTTATTTGTGGGGAGCAACCACACTTATGTGGCTGTCATTTCCCAAGAGCATCTGAGTTGGAGGAGATAAGTAGCTGTACCTAGGTTGAAAAAAATCCCATGGAGAAAGAAACCATTGATTTCAGGGGTGCTCCTTATCTTCTGGTTAGTTCTGCTTCTGAGTTGGAGTCAACTCTGAGCAATCAGAAAAGGTTCTGAAAGCTGCAAGGAGTACTTGGGTCAAGTGATTTAATCAGAAAAAAATCACCATCCCCTAGGACTCCTCCCTTTATTTTCAGACTCTGTCAAGATGACAAATTTTTAAATCATTTTCCTGATCCCTGAGAAAGTAAGCAGTCATTGTTTAAGTAACACGAGTACAAAGGCTGGGATCAAATGGTGGCTGAGTAACTCTCTGGAGTCATTTTATTCTAGATTAGATTCTTCACAGCTAGTCACATCTTCTCCAAGAGGAGTAGAAAAACTTTAGATTCTTATTTGTCATTTTAGGTTAAGGAAAGATTAATGAGAAGATACTTATTTAGAAGCAAGAACATAAGAAGGCTTACTTTAAAAAAAAATAATCGTAACTTCTCAGAAAGTTGAGCATTTTAAAAGTTGAGTCACTTGATTCAGGTTCTGTTTGTCACTGGGGATTTGAATAGTCACCTTTCTTAACATTACTTCCAGAAATAACAGCAATTTAAAAAAAATACAAACAGAAATAAATGTGTAACTATATTTGTCAAATGCAGATCACATTACTGGTATTGTTTTAGTGCCTACATCTTTTTTAAAACATCTGATTTCTTAAATTAATGAAACCATCATATGTAATACTTATCAAATCAAATACTTATCAAACCAACTTTCTTTGAATCTCTTGCTACAATAGCCCAAATTACCACAACTGTTGCCAGGTGCCTAGCCCACAAAGACTAGCCAAGATATTTTCTTATTGTGAAAAAACCTAAAAGAGCTGGATTGTGTTGCTAAGGAAACCACCTTCCCCAGAGATGTTAAGAATAGATGGGTATCTATCCTGTTGGGCATGCCTGAGTGACAGTCCTCCTGGGGGTAGATGGATGAGCCAAATGACCTCTGGAGATCTCTCCTTGTCTCAGGACTATAAAATCTGAAGAATACTGAAGAATCTCAAACTTTTCATTATTCACACACAGTTAGCCATTGTGACTATCTTAAAAGATTAAACCCTTCTGAGACAACCATTTGGCATGACTAGTACCTAATAAATTATATTTCAGACAGTAACCTTTGGCAGTGGACCCTGTTTGATTGTGATACAAACAAAGTGACTTTCCCAATTGTTAAATTTAAAAATCTTTCAAGTTTAGATATCTTTGATATCATTAAATCACTCAAAGTTAAACATGATATCAAAAGAATGAAAATAGTCAATCATTTATTTCCTAGAGTAGATATTTACGTTTTTCCTCTTTAGGAGAATTCAGATTTGGATTTCGTCCCTTCCTTTTCTTCCATATTTAAATAAGCTTGCAAAATACACACAGATCTTTTCAAAACTGGTTATTTTCTGAAGGCGAAGGGGAAAGCTCAATGGGCAATATGAAAAAGGAAGAGCAAAATAAAATTGGATAAAATGGGGTACAAAGCTATTATTTTCAAACTGGCTTTTGTGTGTGTGTGTGTGTGTTTCTCATATATAGAGACAACAATAATACTACATTAGGAGGGCATAACCCAGACAAGAGGTGGCTAATCTTACTCAGTGTAGCAGTAGGAGGTGATGTAGATCCCTGGACATAGAAGTTCCCAGATAATTAAAAAACAAATTTAGTTGTAGATGGACAGAATGTCTTTATTTTACTTACTTATTTTTTTATGTGGTGCTAAGGATCGAACCCAGTGCCTCACACATGCTAGGCAAGTGGTCTGCCACTGAGCTACAGCCCCAGCTCTAGATAATTTTAAAGAATCATTTCCAAGTCAGTTTTTTCCAAATACTCACTAATAAATGCCTTTTTAAGATAATTCGAAGTTTGATAAAACCACTGAATAAGAAATCAACAGAGAAAGAAATATTTAAATGTGAAACTACACCAAAATTGCAACTAAAGTCATTAAATCAAGTCATATGAATTAGCTTAGATAAAAGCAAGGCTAATTTTTACTGTAAATTTGCCTCCTCCTAAATCTAGTTAATTTACATTATCTTAAATATATTTAAATGACCTTACACATGACTCTAGAATCAGAATTACTGAATGGACTTTAAAATCCACATGGTACGGTATAATGCAGGGAAGAATTACCTTATGAGCATGTTGAATACAAATGCTACCCTAAAGTAAAATCTGTCAGATTCCTTTGAAATTGTAGTCCTGCCAGAAATTTTTGTGATCAATAAAATGACAGTAGAGTTGACTTTTCTTGAATTATAAACAAGCATAGAGGATTAAATAAAAAACAATTGTCCTGTGTAATGATACGTTTATCACAAGGGAAAGGAAATCACTAACAATGTGACTTAAATCTTTGAAATTATTTCATTTCCCATGGATGTAACAAGTATCAGAATTTCTAAAATTCCAGGTTGTACATTAATAATATATTTTTAAATCCACATATAAAAAGATAAACTGAAAATAAACACTGGATTAGGCTTTGAATCTGGTTACATATACTCTCCTGATTCCCATCATTCTGACTCACCACTCTCAGAATAGAATTCCAGTCAGTATGTAGACAAACTAGCCCCAGGACTGATCAACAGCTAGCAACCAGGTGATATCACATTTTTGTTTTGAATTTTCCATAAGATAAGAAACCAACTGCATTGTTGAGGAAGTGGGTCTCATGGTCTAGCTTGAAAAACCAAAAGAGAAGTCCAAAGTACAGTTTAAAATGACTATTCTAAAAGTGACATTGAATTTATATTTTTGGCAGGTAAAATACCAAAGAGCTTCTTTATTTCTAGATATCCACACTTTTGACAATAAGTCATTCATCAGTCTTTTTAATGTTTAAATTTCTTTAAAAATGGTTTCTTTACAATTGTGTAGATCTGTTTTTATTACCTAAAGCATCAAATTAAATAAATATGGTTTATATAATCAATGTGGATGTTGATCAGCAGACATAAGGACCAAGTGCACTAAGAGGAAGGCCATGTCATAACTAGATCTTCTAGGTTTCAGATCACCTGTTACTTGTGAACTTTCTGGTGTCATAAGACCTAGCCTGGCCCTGCTGAAACCTTTTTATAGTTTCTAAGTGACATCACTAACTATTAGACTTAGACTCCATTCCTCACCCACTTCCTGACACTTCTATAACTCTTGTGAGATTTCAAATTGCTGGTATTCAATTAATGAAGTCAATTATATTATTTAATGCCACAGAAAACATTTGTGAGATGTGCTGTATGTGCCAAGCTGTGGTTTTTTTTTGGCTTAAGTTTCTAAGTTACTCCAGCACAAATGAGCAGATCTCAGAAAAAGAATGCAATCAGAAGTTGCAAAATTGTATCAGAACTAGAGTGCTCAAGGCGAAAAACTTCTGGTGTTGGTTGTGGTAAAAATACCACAAATAACTCCAATGTCAAATCACAGTGAAGGCTTGCTTTTGAAAGCATAAAGGTACTTCTCAATTAATCTTGGTATTTTATCCAGTGACAAGGACTAAACTGTCTTTGAGAGAATAAGAAGCATATGACATCTTACAGTTATGTTATGAAGTTATATTTGAGAAACAAAGGGATTCAAAACACCTTTTAAAAACAGAAGTTCTGTTGACTTCTGAGGATGTCAGTCTTCCACCTGCTCATTTGGGGTTTGTAACTCCAAACTAAAAGTGAGGGGTATCTTATGACTTCCTTTTTCTACCTGCTTCAGGCAATGCCTTTGGAATTTGGAACAGGAGCCTGTTTTGATAGCCTATTTATAAAGAAGTAAGAGTGACTATGCTTCACATTTTGTTTCAAAAATTTCCTGACATGTTTGCTGGATTATGCAGGAATTAAACCCCTTTGAAAGTGTGTGGTAGGGATTTTACAGGTATAAACTTAGCATCACTGATATAGTCTACACCAAAGAAGCAATTTGCCAAAATCTCTTTCTAGGATTTTGGTTCTAGCAAAGTCCACATATAATTTACCAATTGCAGATGGGGAAAAGGAAAGAAGATCTAGTGAGTTCCATTAATTTAAGAAAAAAGAAGCATTCTTTTAGTTGCAGTTTGCATATAATTGGACTTTTTTTAATAACATGCTATAAACTCATATTAAAATAATTTGCATAGACTTGACTAATTCATTTCACCCTTCATCACTCTTAGAACGTATGGCTCCTCACCCCCCAGTATTTTTACTAACAAGGACTATTGCTCTAACATAACAGGTATTGAATAAATGTTTGTTGAAAAAGTGGATTTTAATAAATTCTGAATATCAAGACCAATAATATATATTTGAAAATATATTTAAAAATCTAAAACCAATTTATTAATCTATAGGAAATAAATCATGATATATTTTTCTGCTTAATGAAAACTAAGCCAGATTTTGCCTAGAAGTCATCTACTAGAGTGTAAAAATTTCAAAGGACATAACAACAATCTCTTTGCTACTTGATTAATTTCTGAACAGTGTCACCTGGAGTGTGTAACATATATGATTACACTGTAACATATATGTTTGTGAAGATTTTATCACTTGAAGAATTAGTAGTTTCACATTTTATATGTGGCTGGAAAAATTAGAAAAATCTAATTTCATCACAAAGAAAAGACCTTCAACAAGTAACTATATTATTCAACCAAACAAAAGACATGAGACAAATGGGTTTTATCAATGTCTTAATGATTGGGGATCAAGGAATGAGAAAAACTTAAGTAAAATTTTCTTTGACTTTCTTCTCCAAAAAGAAATCAAGGATGACAAAGGACATGTGCAAGTTGCTCCAAACACTTGACTCGCAAATCAGTTTGACCTGGATTATAACTGGGAATTAAGCCCCATTTAAAGGTATAAGACTGAAGCTAAAACAACAGGGTGTGGAGCAGGAAGGTTTGCAATAGAAAGTGAATGAGTAAGAGCTGTGTGTCAAAAACTCTCATTTATTTGGTTAGGTATATTATGGAGTGATACAACAGCTGAAGGTCAGGTTATTGTGTGTGGTACAAAGATCTTAAGTATCCCAACTGGCTGCATCTGACTTGATACCCACTTCTAAAGGTTTAGAATAACCATAGCACTTTCCTGGTATATGAGCAGTTTTTTATTGAACAGAAGGGCTATTATTGGGGAAAAATTTTCAGATGGGAACACTGTGCTCCCTTTCAGCTTTTCTGGGAAAGGAAGTAACAATAAAATGATTCCATCATTAGTAGTATTTGCAATTTTGATCTAATAATTTCAAACTACAGTTTTAAAAATTATTCTTTTTTTTAATAGACCACATCTTAAGATCATAAAAACCATTTCAGATTTTAGGTTTGGAAAATTGAGTACCCAATACTGATCCTTTCCTAAAATCTGCTATTCTCTAGTGTGTGGTAAGCTTGTGTTTGGTGTGTGGGCGTGAGAGAATATAGGACTTATTATTTTTTAAAATATATAACCTGTGTATGTAGTTTGTGGAAAATATTTAGGGGTTGTTTAGGTGTGTGGAAATTCAGAATTGAAGTTGTCATGGTTGGAGCGATAATTCTTCTTAGTAGGGCAGTTACTTTGTACACCAACTGAACAGACAGAAGAAAAAAGCTCTTTCTTGTAGGCATCCTTTGGGAACAAAGCTACAAAACATAGATCCAGCCAAAAATTAAAAAAGCAACCTTTTGCTGGGCACAAAGGTACATGCCTATAATCCCAGCAACTAGGGAGGCTGAGTCAGGAGGATAGCCAGTTCAAGGCCAGCATAGCAATTTAGTGAGCCCCTCAGAAATTCTGCAAGGCCCTGTCTCAAACTAAAAAAGAAATAAAAAGAGCTGGGGATATAGCTCAGTATTAAAGCATCCTGGTTTCAATCCCTAGTACCAAACAAAACCCCAAAAAACCTTCTTGCAAAAATACAGCTGAATTGAAGGTAAAATATTCAGAAATTGGATTATCATCCTACCCTTCGATTTTGCCCCAGCCAGAGGTGGCTTTTTCTCACTTTCCCATACTCCAGTGTTTTAAGAATAACCTCAGCGTGCTTCACATGTAGACATTTCCAGAGCTTTTAATGGTCCAGTAAACATGGAACACATACTTCTTTTATGTGTTTGTATGAAGAAACAATAGCCTCTTGTCATTTTCTCTTTGGGCCTGTGCTCTTTAGATTGTATCAGTAGGGGGAAAAAATTAAAAATCAATCACTAAAAAACTGTAACCTTGAAGATAACTCAGGATATACCACCAAGATTTGAGCACCCCCACCCCATCTGATTAACCCTGGCTAATCATTCAAATGGAACCTTCCTGCCTTCATTACTGCTACCTATACCAGAACAAACCCAAAGCTCCTTCAAGGTTAATGATAATGGTTATAAATAGCCCAGTGGTGGGGGTAGGGAAGGGGTAGGAACCAACTGCGTTGTGGAAGAGCTGCCAAGTAAACATGTTTTCCCCACATCAAGTTCTCATAGAAAAATTTCCATTTGGAGGACTTTCTCTAGATCAAGCATTTTTAAAGTTCAATTAAATAAAATTTTAAGAAACTGAGTTCTACAATATATTTCTATTCATATTTCTAAATACTCAACTCTAAAAGACATAAAAAAAAAGTAGTGATGCAATCACTGGATAGCAAGGCATGTCCACATTTCAAATAGTCATAAATCATGTGAAATGATATAACAATAGAAGGTCAAAAATGTGAAGCAGGTCTATCATAATCATATTGCATTGGGGGAAAAAAAAAGCAGAACACGCTATTTAGTTACCTAAATTGATTTACAGGAAAAGGGTTTCCTAGAAGTCCTCCGATGAACCAAGTGCAGATAATCTGCAGGAGGGGAGTGCATGTCTTATTTCTATCTATTCCCTTGAATAAGAGAATATGAGGTAATCAGAGAGTTAGGCAATGCATTCTGAACTGTTCTGCTAAGTGTCCCAGGCAAGTCAAATCAAAATGCTTCAGAAAAGTAAGGCCTAGTTGAGTGTTTGGGTAGAGGCCCCCCTTCGATCAGCTAATTGCTAAATGGAAGTCCCACTATACACTTATTCTGTAGAGATGGATGGATCGCACTGTAGAAAAGGCTGGTTTGCTGAGGCTGTGTCTCTTCCACCTTTACTCAGCCTTCTCTGCATTTACCAAGTTAGGTCCTCAGAGTGGTGAAGGAAAATAAGCCATTTTCCTTCATAAGTATCATTGGAAGATTCCTCTATATTAATTGTATGAACCTTAGAATACTTACAGATTTTTTTTTAACTTAATTTTTTTTTTTTCGTTTCAAAGAGTTCTCAGTCCCCACCCCACACGAGGGATCGTGAAGGGGCACTAAAGTGCATTTTGATGTAGGGGATGGTAGAGTTTAAAGGTGCTGTCCAAGCTAAGAAACAAGATGATGCTGTTTAGAAAAGAAAGGCAATTCCTTCTACCTCCGTCTTAGGAGTCAGCTGAGGGAGGGCAGTGAACTGGACCCTCACCAGAGGATTGTCCTAACTCTGAACGTTAGAGAAAACTGTGTAAGGACCTGCACATATAGACTCATTTATTTGTCCAAAATAGCAAAAATAGGCCTATTTCACCCTTAAGAAAGTATTTGCAAATCTGATGAGTCAGGATCATAAAAACGTGAGTGGATTCCAGATGCAATCCACGTGGGCATGCTCTGTGGCGCTAGCTATGCATCTTCAGCTTGAATGAACATGCTGCTGTCCCTTTTCATCAAAACATGACTTCTGAACTACCATAAATAAAATACACATGAAACAATTAAAATTTTTTTCTTACAATAATTACTTTTACATTAAAAAGTCACCATCATCTTCAGATATATCGAAAATTAGGACTCTAAATCTTATTATTTTCCAGTCTCAGTTAACAATCTTGCACAGGCCCGATAATCCAAAACTTGGAGCTCTGTTCTGCACAGCTTGGCAGGTTTCACACAGTTTGACAGGTAGGCAACTGTGAGATATGCATTTTTAAAATTTAGCATTTTCTATCAAAATAGTCTGAAATCTTAAAATCCCCATAGTGACTGTATTTGTGCAATGCCACAGTCATGTAGCTAGAAAGGAGAAAACAAAATACAGTCTGGAAGATTAATCACAGTCCAAGTTTTCTTGGTCTTCAGTTTAAACAACGATGAGCCCAGGAAATCCAATTAAATACAGTGCCTTAAATAGGAGAAGAGTTGGTCCTGGAATAGAATAATTTAAGCTCTACTAAACAGGGACAGTCTCAACCACGGGAGATTTGATACACTCTTCGTGCAATCTGCTCTTTTCTGCAAGGCTCAAAGAATTTTCAGCAGGATGCTCCGAAAGGTGACTATCACCATTCAAGGTGGGGACAAACCCTTCCTGGGAAGGGCCTTTTAAGTATGAGTGAAATTCCACTTGAGGATGATTAGACCTGTGTTCGGGATATAAGCTATTGCAGGGCACGCCGCTATCATTTTCGGAAGAGGAGCAGCAAACGATTACAGAGGGGTTGGCAGCTGGGTAGTGGGAGGCACCATAGGCCTCTTCCGCTTGTCGGGCATAGTCAACGAATTGCTCTGGGGTCATGGTGTAAGGCACCAGCGAAAGGGTACCGTTTTTGACAGTATCTCGTTCTGAGTAGTTCTCAGCGATCTGGTTAGCAGTTCCTGGAATGTGGCTATCGATTTGGTAATACAGAGTTGAAGAGTTGGCATAAAAAGAAGCATTTTTTGCGTGGCTTTCGTGAACAGCAGTGCCATCGGAATAACAAAGGACCGAAGGAAGAGGGACCACTTCAGCATGAGTGCCCAGACCTTCCACGAAGCCGTCTCCTTTATCATCGTCGTCATCTTCCTCCTCCTCCTCTTCCTCCTCCTCCTCCTCCTCGTCTGACTCGCTAGGTGCCAGGCTTTGGGTGCTGGAATCGGTGACTCCACTGCAAAAGCTGCTCCCATCCTCCTCCTCTTCGTCTTCCTCCGCTTGGCAATCTAATTCCTCTGCAGACTGCAGGTGCAGCACTGCAGCCTGGGGTTCAGTTTCAATCTCAAAATTTTCTGCGATAGAATATTCTACGGAGTGAGCGACAGGGCCCATGGAACTACTGTGAGCACTTATCTCACCGTGGCAGCCGTTCAGCGTGGGGATTTGCTGCTCTCGGTTTTTCTCCAGTTCAAGTTTCATTATTGTGTGCAAAAAGTGAGTCCGGACACGGATAGGATTAAATTCAATTCTACCTGCTGTGTTACTACAACCTTCTTTAGTGCAGCCACACGGGAAAGACATACGATCCACCTTAGAAGGAAGAACACAGATTAGCACCATGGAACTATTACAAGCCAAATAAAAATTTGGTTCCTTCCAGCAACCCCTTTGAATTAAGTAATCCACTTAATTCCACTATGTCAGAGCAAATACTAATAAAACTGCAAATAAATATGAGAAGGGGAAGTGAAGTCTTAAATCATAAAGAGTTAAGTAGTTTCTAAACCTATATTTAAGATAAAAGTAGAAATTTGGTATATGTGGGCATTTTTATTTCTTTGATCTTATCACCTCCAGTGCCTTCTTTACTTCTTTCTCCATTCCCTACATTTCTTTTCTCTTTATGCCTTTAATTTTGCTCTCATTTTTCAATGCTTCTATTCTTCCTATAATCTCCCTTTTTTTTCCTGCTGGATTCCGGGTCACCTACCAATTTTAAACACACAAACTTATAGTACTTCTTCCCACCTGCTATTTTTTTTTTCATAGTGCTGGGATTAAACCCAGGGCCTTGTGCATGCCAGGCAATTACTCTACCAACTGAGCTATATCCCCAGCCCCCACCGGCTATCTTTAATTTAACCTACATGATGTTCCTCATGCTACCTATATTCTTTTCCCTTTGCTCACTCTCAAAGATGTCCAGGTTGACACCACTTAGCATCATGCAGTATTATAATTCATTCTCATTGGTTCAACTTGATGCATGGGTGAATGTGAGCATACTGCAAAGATGCAGTGGGTATACACACTGGCAAATGTGTTTAGGTCCTGTTCTCCCCTTTTCTTTCCCACTCCGTCAGACTACAGGCTTTTTGATGTAACGTATGTACGTTACATCAGTATCTCAGAATTACTTGAGTGATGGGCTCTAAGGAAAGAGTGATTGCATTAACCAAGGATTTTGGACTGACCTCTTTACTCAGGTGGTAAAGTGGAAATCTGGGAAACGCATAGGTACTCCTAAGATATTTGCCAACTGTCTCAGACTCTACAAATCAACCTGTGTGCAAACCAAAGTACAGACAAGAAAAAAGCTTGCTCTGCTTCCCATCTTATCCAAATACAGGGAATATACTATGCTACAGAGGAGATTGCCAAGTTAGTGTAGTTATCTCAGTCCCAATGAAAAGCAGTAGCAAATGTCAGTGGCAGAATCTGTAGCCATTTTCTTATGAACCTCTTTTCTGTGGATCCATCCTAAGCTATATTCATTTAAGGGGAACTGTTCTATTTTACTTGCAGGAAGGACTCTCTTTATTGAAAAAGCTGTGGCTGCATAAAATAATAGCAACTAACCACAGACCACCAATGATGTTAGAGATAAATGGGACCTGAGAATTATCTAGTTCAGAGGTTGTAAACCTTTTCTCCCACTTTTAATTAGTTTTAACCTTTAAGTTTTTAGAAGTGTAATCAACTAGGTGAGATTGGTAGGGGATATTTTCCAACACTTATATAAACTTAAATTTTAGGCTCTTCTTAGGAGTAAAATAGGCTTTTCACTGCTGTATTCCCAAGTTGCCAAAAAAAAAAAAATCTCTCTTTAGGTTTCCCCCCTATATTCCTCTAACCAATCTTGCAGTATAGGGATACTTGAACACTTTTTGTTGTTGTTGTTGTTTTGCTAAAAAAAAACCTTAACAGCTGGGAGTAACTGTAATAACTTTTCTTTCCCTACAAAGGGCAAGAGTTTAAATATTTTAGTCTTTCTTGGCCATATGGTCTCTGTGCTACTACTCAGTTCTGCAGCAGAAGCTTGAAATTAGTCATAAATAATAGGGTAAATAAACAAATAAACTGGCAGTGTTCCAATAAACTTTGTTTATGAAAACATGTGTTTGGCTGGATTTGGTCTGTGAGTTGATAGTTGGCCAACCTAACATAGTCCAGCCCATTCATTTTAAAGATGAAAAAACAGCACAGAGAGTTAACCTGGCTGGACACTTTCCTATAATCGACAAATAGCAAAAATAGTCTAGTCATGCTTGCACTAGTCCACACCACCTTTAATCCATCATTCACTTCACACCCCATACATAGATCAGAAAATATAAACTCAAATATTAGGATGCCAATAGTTTCCAGAATAAGCTGGTGGAATCAATGAATCCAAGAGGAAAAAATCTCTACCATCTGAGTTACCTTTACATTGTATTTCATATATACATAAGCACTTTGCAAATGTCCTGGAATTAACATTTCTCATTCCCTGAACTACACATCTTGCCTTTCCACAAATTTTCTTTTCCACATGCAAAACGTTATTTGCAACACTACTTCTTTACCGGGTGGTGTATAATGCTTTGTCTTTGGATGCCCTGACATCCACACCTTACCTGACATTTAATGCCTGCCAAGCTGCAGGTACATGTTTCTGGATCACAGAACACTCTGCAGTCGCAGCCACAGTCCTCCCGTGACAGGCGGATGGCTCGAAGCTCGTGCTTTTCTTCCACATCAATCTTCTTCACTCCAGAGGCTCGCAGCAGTGCTCTTCGTTTTTTTGTTGGCAGGGGTTGTAGAAAGAAGTACTCGTCTACTTCTGTGTTGTCCAAATCAATATCATCATCGGAAATGTCATCCACTGTAAGAGTGCTAGCTTCCTCAGATTCTACTGTGCCATTCTTAGTCATCTAGAAACACAGGGAAGTACGTAAGAGATGGAGTTCAAGCAGGGTCCAAAGTCCCCACCTCAGCACTTGGGAAGAGTGAGCTAGTATATATCATCATGCCCCCACAATCAGTAAGTGTGTGTGAGCTCAATTGTTTGCTTTTATTTTTCTCATTAGGAGAAGTCACAAAAAGGAAAACCGAGGCATGGAAATTATGTGCTTTTAAAAATGTACTGGTTACAAGAGATGGATACTTGGAACTCTCAGTCTCCTATAGTCAGTAGTTACTGTTAGAGCTTGAACCAGAATGATAAGAAAAAGACCAGAAGTTCCAGATGTTGTCTTTAGATTCAGTTCAAAATGGGTAGCTCTGGTGTTGGAGAAAGAATGTCCTGGTTCAGAAGTGAGAGCAACTTCATGGATGCCATCACCAACCAAGTCAGTAAATATCTTGTCCTTGAGATAACCACTCTGACACTTTGGTATTTCAGCAAAACCATGCACTCAGGAAATAAAGTTGTGCTGTGCTATGCTATTGGGATTATAAACATGATTACGCTATAGAACATTCCAAGGAATTGATATGAAGCAATCAGTCAGGTCAGTATGCTCTCAGAGAACAGTGCGGGTACATGCTCATCAACTGACAACTGAAATGACAAACCAGGTTCCCAAAGGAGTTTGCCCAAAGCCATACCTTCTGCCTAACAGCTCATGTGGACGGCCATGCCTCACATACCCAGGAGTTGTTCTGCTGCTATTTATATTTCTTTTCTAAATTAATCTCATCCATCAGTAAGCCCTGAATCAGTATTTCATTTCTGAGTATTACACCACGACATATAGTTTCCTTCATAAAAAAGGATTTAGAAAGAAAAGTTTTCTCTGAATATGATCAAGATATTTATTCTTAGGAGCAGTGCAAGAAAAAAAATGTAGAAAATCCATAAGAGATAAAGCATGGGATAACTAAATAAAGAAGTTATTTGGATTATTTAATTTTTAAATTTATTACTTTCTAAATTTCATTCATTGTAACTATTACCTTGCTTAGTAATCTTCACACTTCATCCATTAAACAGTTAAAATACCCTGGTGATATTAGACACCATTCTCATCCTCAAAAGAAAATGTCCAATATTTAGACAAGAATATTTATTACTGTAAAAACCCCCCAAGATGGACAACTGTGAATGTATTAAAGAAGAAATAGAATATTGGACTTTGCCCTCAGGTGGAGAAATTTTCACCAAGGAATCGCCACAGTATTAAGTGCATATTCCAATATATTACAAAGGGTCCCTAAGATGTATTTGCAAAAACTACTAAATTATATTTCTGAATATTTCAGAACTTAAATCTATGATCTTACCAAGATTAGCATTCCCCTTTACCAGGCTATGTTGTTAGTATGATCCTCAGTTCATTTCTTCTGTTGGCATTGTGTATTGGTTAAACTATGACATCCATTACTAAGATGTTACTTGGATTGGTGGTGGTTATCACTTTTGTTCATTCTTACTAACAAGTTGCACATTTCTATGTGTAAAGATCTAATTTTCTAAGAAATTCAAGTGTATAATTGCCTCACATGTCCAATCTTCTGTGACAGGCAAAGCTGCATGAACAAGTAGGGAATGTTCCCTTTCCCATCTTGTCATTCTGTGGCAATAGATTTATTTTAATTAATTCTTGGCTTGCTTATGTGAACCTCAGCAAGCTTCTCAGTTCATGGCACATGTAGACACTCAGCACTTGGCTAGCACGACTCATTTCAATCCTTCCTCCCTACTTCATCTCCGTGTTCTATAATATTTAGGCTTTCTTGTGCAATTGGTAATGTTATAACACCAATGAGATCTCCAACTTATAACAATGGGTTTGGAGGTACAAAATAACAATAGTTGTTATCAGACAACACATGAAATCTAAAAATCAAGAAAAAGTAAGAATTTTGTCAATATATAAAAACATATAAAAATTTAAGGCAACATAAACCATGAATTGGCTGGCATCTCAGAACTAAGAAACAAACAAATGTATCTCAAATTTAACTACAGATACAGTTTACTCCAAATATAAATGTCTTTAGAAATAAAATCTGCATCTCTTATTTACAAGTTCTAGAATTATTCACTTATTATAATTTTATTTTAAAATAAAGATTCAAGTAAGAATCTAAAAGTCCTTCACATACAGCTATATACTATTTTCACTCTTTTTCAATAACCTACAGGGATTGAAACCTAGATTTTTAAAATCTCATGTTAATGTTGATGTGCTCTGGGGCAAGGTTTTCTCCTCACCTCTTCAGCATCATTTCTAATGAAGACTGGGGATATTCTACCTCAGTCTGGTCAATTGACTTGTCTTCCTCTTCTTATGGTTCCTGGTTGGTGTTGCTTCTGAGACATTCCCTACTATGACCTTGCATAGACCGATTGTGCCTGCTGGTTTCATTAAAATCCAGGACTAGACTACTGAGTTTAAATGCTCTTCAATATTGGAGTACTAAAATAGTATTTCCAAATGTATCTTCCCATATGGGAGCAATAGGAAAAAAAGTCAAAGAGCTCCCTATTCTTGTCTACCAACTTACATTTGTTATTCTCTAAAGATCTGGTGTAAAGGAATCCAGGAAGTCTTCCAGGATTGACTCATCTACTCATGCCAGACTCTTTATCCATGTCTATCGTCATGCATAAGAACATTCATGTTGTACAACATTGGTTCTCTCCTGTCATGAATGCTACCTTTAAATGTTTTTTTTTTCCCATCTCAAAATAGAATTATTAAAATTTCAGATTTTAATTCATCAAAAACAGCCTCCTTATTTTATGCATCAATGAAGCTCACTCAGAGTCATTTTGATCTCTCCAGGATGTACTTATAGGATATAATTCCCTGTTTCCTATTTTAATATGCTTCTCCCTACATGTCATAAATTATAAGTTTCTTATTGGTACCTACACAATACTGGGAGTCTAACATGGAGTCAAACACAATGTATCTAAAAAGCTATTTCATTTATAAAATAACATACCCTGTAACCTGCATTTTCAAATGCATGTCTACTTTTGAGGTAGAAATCTTCAATCTAGGACTTGGACCATTTCTCACTTTGTGTTCTTTCTCCAGAAATAAAGTTGCCTCCCAGTAGCTCAAAAAAAATTTACTATTAAAAAAATGTGGTTTAGGAACACTATCAAATAATTTTGGCCTTTAAATGTGCTCTTGTCTTCATATATATGCATATGAAAGAAAGAGAAACTGGAGGTAGAGATGAAAGAGGTGGCAGAAAAAGGTATGGCATATAATAATATTAATAACAGTTTTAATTTTGTGTGCCAGAAACTGTTCTAAACACTTAACCTGATTAGCTCGTATAGCAACACAAAAATCTTATGTGATATATACTATCATTATATCCATTTAACTGATGAGGAAATCAAGGTACAGGAATGCTAAACATGCCCAACATCACAAATACATAGTGTATACATTAAAGTCATGATCTGAGATATTTGACTTCAGAGCTTGTGCTCCCTAACAGCATTGATATATATATTTTATATGTATATAATATATATATATATATATATATATATATATATATATATATATAATAGATTCTTTTATATAATTAATATTTATTGAATAGTTAAATAGTAGTTAGTGATTATTTTGTATGAGCCACTAGGTATAGGTATATATGACAAAGACCTTAATCTCAACGGAGTGGAATAATGAGTCAAGGAATCTGGCAATTTCAACCCAGCTTGTAAGGATTTCCTAGCTTAGGGTGAATACAGCATTTGAGGAGCACCTACAGGTAGGGCTGGCAGTGGAGTGAAAAGGGAAAACTTCCAGATGAAGCTTAAATCTGAAGGTGGATGGGCAGTCAGAGGAACAGTGGAGACAGAAGGCCTCACTCCCCCAGCCTGCTCTGGGACAGAACACGATGTATTCTTTGACCTACAGAGCATACAGATGATTGGACTTTGGTGGAATCACTCTCCATAAAGAAAGAACTAGAGAGAAAGAAACAGCAGTTCTTCAGAGTAGCTCCTGTTTATCTGTCTTAGCCAATGAAAGGTGGTAAGTGATAACCTGACTCATGATTTGATCTAATGATCTTTATCTCATCTTATATTTTTCCTGTATGTGTATACATTTATCTATATTGTACTGTGAGGATCTTAAGAGGCGTGTGTGTGTGTGTGTGTGTGTGTGTGTGTGTGTCCTTGATCCAATGACAAAACTGAAGATGGCAATTGTTTCTTGGGCTACTGGGTAAAATTGTCTGGACTCCCTCTCCACATATTAAAATCTAACTTGTTTTAGACAGAATCCTAACATCTTACTTTTGCAAAATTGTACCCACTGATAAGCATGAGAAAGTAATTTCTGAAAACACAGTTTTGCCCACGTATACACTCCTGAGGAATAGGATGTATTATTGTAAGAATCAGTGGAATGACTCCAAGACTATCAAATAACCAATTCAATGCAAAATGGGTAACAATACTGAAAATGTAGATTGACTAAAATGCTAAAAAAAGAAACAAAGCAAAACACAAAAATAGATCCAGTTCCTTTCATCAGTGAAGCTGTATATTTAGTAGTAAAGTCTCCTGTTTCTTAAAAAATATGAGCACGTGTAAAAATGAGAATGGATATAAGAATGTGCAAATGAATTCAGTTCCACAAACACTGATTACTCCCTATTGTAACAAAGATGATGATGCTGAGGAAGACCTGAACTACCATATATTGAATACCAGGTGCTGAGTGTCATACTTTGTACAAATTATCTCACCTAATTTGTACAATGATCTTATGAATTTTTTTTTTTTGTACTTGGGAAAACTGGTGCATGGGGAAGGTTAATTTACCAAAGTCTATCTAAATTAGCTAATTCATGATGGTACTAAGCATCGAACTCAGGTTTATTCGACTTCAAAGCATGAGGCTGGTTGTCAAGATCAGTTTGGAGTAAAAAGTATTAAGAGTTAGAGTGT